GCAATAATAATAATAATAATAATAATAATAATGATAATAGTAATAATAGTAATAATAATAATAATAATAGTAATAATAATAATAATAATAGTAATAATAATAATAGTAATAATAATAATAGTAATAATAATAATAATAACAATAATAATAGTAATAATAACAATAATAATAATAATAATAATAATAATAATAGTAATAATAATAACAATAATAATAATAATAATAATAATAATAATAATAATAATAATAATAATAATAATAATAATAATAACAATAATAACAACAACCACAACAAATAAGTGGGATTTTTAAAGCGCACACACAGGTTATCCAACACACCAGGTAACCCTGAACCCTTTGTATTTAATCAACTAGTTTGGCATTTAGGGGATTCCCCTAATGGCTTTTGATCAAATACTGTAGTTGTTTGTAGAGGTCCTTAGATAACTGTACAGAAATATGAATAACAAAAGAATTGTCACAGAATCACAAGACAGCGGATGTAATTGTTAAATCATGCTAAGGAATCATGTTTACTGTAGAATGTTAATGTATATAAAAGCAAAACTAACATAACAACATATAATATTTTTTCTATTTTATAGTATTGTTAAATTCTCAACAATTGTTAAATTTAATATTATTAATTAATAAATAATATCATATCAACTAAAAAAGCTACAAAGCCCAACTAGGGAAGTTCGGCTTAAGTTAGGCATTTTCATGTTGAAATTAAGTTGATTTATACCAAGTTTCAATTTGTAAGGCAAGATTGTCATACATTTTAAAAGTAATATACTAGTAATTTCTAAAGACTAATAATATAATTTAGAAAAATGATTTTTCTAAGACAGAAAAAACTTGTTGGACAAAAAACTGGGGAACGTCGAGTGAGATACAGGTTTTTGAATATTTAATAACTGGGGGAAAAAGATGTAAAAAGGGTGGTTTCAACCCTATTTCCTCTGGTTTTTAAATATTCAAAATCTGACTTCAATTCTTCATACAATTTATATTTCTCTTTCTTTGCTCCGTATGTAATTTAATGTAAGTGTTTGCTATCTGGACCACAATGTCACCACATTCATTGGGTATCCCGAAAAAAAGAAGGATTTCTAAAGTAATTTCATCTATTTATTAACGAATACGAATAATTTTTTTTTTAAATGGTTCTTTATGAGAACTTTAGCTGACCTAAAATATTAACAATGACACTCTTTTGCATTTTAATAGCTTCCACCTTAAACCACAAAATCAATTAGTACGATATCCTTTCCTCTTTCGCACATAAATTTTTATGATTCAAAACAGTACTGCCTGGTCTTCTTCACAAAGTAAAATAGGTTTTGACATATGACTGTAGCAGTTCTTTTTTTGGTTGATTTTTTATTCACTATGATTAGGTTACAACCTGGGTGTTTTCTTTTTTAGAGTATTTCCTGCTTTCTTAACATAGAAGTCTTGAAAATAAATTGCTGTAGTAGACAAAAATTTTTATTCATATAACAATGTCTTCAAATAATATGGAATTAATGAACACGCCCATGTTTGAAATCATAACTTCCTAAAACCATGGAAACATTTTAATTATGTTAATTTACATTTAATTATATTCCAAAAGTTGGTAACTGTCTTTGGTATATAATTTAATAATTATTTTTTCATTAATATTTATTTCACTTTATTGTAAATAATATGTTATAAAATGATTTTTTACTTTATTGTAAAAATATTTTATAAAATTATCTTTTTTTACTCTACATTAACAATATCTATAAATAATACATAATGAATTTGTATACTATAGTTATGTCCAAGTTTGAAATCATAATTTCCTAAATTCATATGGAAACATTTTAATTATATTTATATACTTAAATTACATTTCATAAGTTGGTAAATGTCTTTGGTATACAAATTAATATAATAATTATTTGTTTACTAATATTATTTATTTTACTTAATTGTAAATAATATTTTATAAAATAATTTTTTACTCAAATCTTTCAATTTATTTAAATTTAATTATAAATTCTTTTATCTCAACCTTTATAGCAAAGATTGTATTGAATTATTAATTATAATTAAAATTCATTAATTTATTTTTATATATTTTTCTATATTTTTATCTATATTAACAGAAAATAGTTTGCCACTAACCACAGGATGGTACAACTTCCAAAATTAGCAATAATAAATTATATAATTATGTATATATACTTGAATTACATTATATTTCATAAGTTGGTAAATGTCTTTGGTATACGAATTAATATAATTATTTGTTAGTAATATTATTTACTTTACTTTATTGTAAATAATATTTTATAAAATAATTTTTTACTCCAATCTTTAAATTTATTTAAATTTAATTATAATTTTTTTATCTCAACCTTTATAGCAAAGATTGTATTTAATTATTAATTATAATTAAAATTCATTAATTTATTTTTATATACTGTATTTTTCTTTATATATATCTATATTAACAGCAAATAGTTTACCACTAACCACAGGATGGTACAACTTCCAAAATTAGCAATAACAAATTTTATAATTTATTAAATGTTTCATCAGTTCATTTATCTTGTACATATCTTGATTCAACAGTTTGTTTATGATGTGTTCACATGTAAACTGTGTGTTATGTGGAAATCCTGTCCAATCAAGTTGATCACCTCTCAGCAACATAGGTCAGGGGTCAAACAAATCGAAAACTATTGAAACACGGCTGACAACATAATGTAATGAAAGCTTGCTTTAGTTAACATCTATTATGTTTGGTTATTATTTTCCATGCTAAATACCAAAAAAACCATAAAAATATTTTTGTAAATTAACTTGCCCATTTTGAAGTAACATAAAAGTTATCAACTTGAACATAGAAATTAGCGTATTTAAAAAAATGTCTACCCATCAGTTCACAGCGAAAAATTTTAGAAACACGTCCAGTGTTGATAATGGTAATAACAGTGGTGATAATGGTAATAATAATGATAATTACAGCGATAATGATAATAATAACAATAATGATAATAACAATTACAATAATAATATCAATAATAATAACAATAATTATAATATAATAATAATAATAATAATAATGATGATGATTATGATAACAATAATAACAATTTTATTTTGCTTAGTATTTTGTATATATATCCTATGATTTATGTGTAATTATCTATATATGGACATACTGTACAGTACAACAGTTTAAAAAAAAAAGATAGTCTCGATAGAGTTTAATAGATTGAAGTACAATTTAAAGCACTTTATTTGTATTTTCAATATTATTTGAAAATGATTAATATTATCATTATCATTATTGTTGTTCAGTGGTGAAAAATCTTTAGGGCTTACATTCAATTTGTACAAGTTTTTTTTGTAACTTTTGTGTTTATTGTGAAGTCTTGAAAATCATGTTTGGAATAGATTGTAATCTTGAAGATGTATTGTCCCCTGAATTAGACAAAAAATCATTAAAAAAAAAATACTTTTGAAATTAATTTGCTCATTTTGCAATAACATACAAATTGTAAACTTGTGCAAAGAAATTAATGAATTGATAATATTTATGTTACTTTAAATTCAGCAAGTAAATTTTAAAAAATGATTTTTATGATTTTTTTTTGAGTATTTTTTTATGAAACAATACATCTTTAACACACATTATCCCTTTAACTGGGCATTCAAAGAATCCAACACCGCCCCTATGGGTGCTAGATTGCGAGACGCTGTCTACTGACTGTTGGTGGTCTGAGCTGATCGTAATTAAAAACGATCCGTTGCAAGGCTCTTGGCATTGCATTCTTCATAGAATTATGTTGGCCAATGACCATCGGCCGCAATGCATACCCAGCTTTAGAGATTTTTACATAGAAAAAAAAAATCAGAAAAATAACTATGAAAACGAAATATTTTTTTCAGTCTGACTCATCAGTACAACCAATGTTATCTCACAATGTATACACCACCAATACACAATACACCTAACAAAAGCATGGCGTGAACTTTCAAAGAATAGACACTGATGTGAAAATAGTAGATTACCCAATGGTATTGTACACTACAATATGATTAATAGCCTGAAGTTCTTGTTCAAACAATGTACAAGGCATAATACGTTCATTTTCGAAATGTTTCCTTATAAATTTGTTGAATAGAGACCACTTATTTTCACTATTAAAACTGAGTGGTCCTAGAACCAGCCAGACAGAAAGGATTAAAATTACTATCTCAAACTACATACAGTACTGTATTTTGTTATTTTTTTTATTGGGGGTGGGGGAGGAGATTTTCTCTTTCCATCAGAAGGTGAGGAAGTTGTACCTAGTCACTGTGTGTCAGGGTTTTAGCCAGAAAAACGAAATAGGCCGTCCAGAATATGCTTTAGTTCAATGCAACATTCGAAGAATATAAAGAATTTGCTTATTAGTAGACCAGGCTCAACTAGGCTAGACAGCTGAGTAGGCCAAGCCGTCACGGTAAAAGTGGCCGTCCCAAATAATTGTTAGCCGTCCAAAAGACGGCAGGACGGGTCGCTGGCTAAGCCCTTGCTGTGTGTACCAAACATATGAAATGGTTGTAACTGAAGTTGACTACGTATTTTTAATATACTAGTAAATAAATTGAAAAATTAAATAAACCAATTAATTTTTAATTACTGACAACTACTGTTTGGGTGATGTCAAAATGAGCCTTGGTGTTGATGTGGTCAATTGAGTTTAACCTTAATTTTTTACTTGTTCTTGCCCGTAGTTTTGTAATGACACTTTTTGATGTACTGTAATTAATATTTTCCGTTTAGGCAATGTGAATAACGTGCAATTTAGATCCGTCTACAATACATTATACTGCCTTTCTTTCCTTAATTTGTTAATATCAATATTGACATTGCAATTGATTATACACCCTTAATTATAATAGTAATTTTTTTTATAGACATAAAGTTAAACTTGTGCAGTTATATTTTTCAATTTTTTAATGTTAATATTGATGGCAATCAATCCCCCATTTCAAAACTCCTAGATACGCCACTGTGAGGGGGGTGAGGGAGGGATGCACTTTCCCTGTCTCCTCAGTTGGCCTACCAAAAAATTAAGCTCATGTAGTTAAATATTACCTCATATCACCTTCAATTGCGAGCCAGCACCCCCTCACTTAATCATCAAGCTTCCCATTTCACCTTCGTGCCCCCATCACCTCCCCCATTTTAATACTGCTGAGAGAATTTGCACAATTTTAAAAAATCATACCACTCTGTATTCGTATTAGCTCCTGTTCTCTGGACACCAATTGATCCTTTAATCTTTTTTGGATTCTTTGACTTTCTTCATATTTCTTTTTCAATCTCTCATGCTCCTGTAAAGCTGGAAAAAAAACAAAGTAAAATAAGAAATTATTAAAAAGCTATATTCTAAAATATGCAGTAAAGCAGCTGTTTTTTTTATACTCTCAAACTTACATAGACGTAAGAAGTATCTTTACTGTCTGTATGTGTAAACAGCAGTGGCTCCAGAAATTTGCTGACAAGGAGTCCAAACCAAAAGGGCAACTAGAGCCTTGGTCGGGGTTCCGGAATAAAAAAAAATGCCTATAAGATTCACAGAGAGTTTTTGTGGCTTAGTATGTTCCAAACAAGGATTGACAATCAAAATAACGTTTATTGGACAGGCAAATTTATATTTTTAACATTTTTTAAGACCTTGTCGTCGCGTCAGACAACAGAGGGTACAGGACTGTCCGACGGGAAAGCAAGTTAACCCTACCCGCTGCTGGTGCACCCACTGTGTTTTAATTGCACCAACTTGGCCGGTATTCGCTTGTAGGGAGACAACGGTATCTCGGTAGAAGTCTGTGTAAAGATTTTTCTTGTGTATCAAAGATATACGACAAAATTAAAATACACTTTGCATTCAAAAATATGAATGCACTAAATGAAATTTGCTAAGACAGTAATTTAAAAAAAGTTTCTTTCATAGCCTCTGCATCAGTACAGTGTTTTAATATGCATGTACAGCTATCTAGAGCTGCCGTATTTTTCATTTTCACCTAACCTCACAGTCATAACCATGGTGCTGGGCTGAGGTAGTGTGGACTTTACCTATATCAAACTCGGCTTGCATAGAACCGCTCACCCTAATGGTCGCCGAAAACCTTCATGGGTGCCTTCCCAATTGCGTCAGGGCAGGTAGCAATGCACCCCGATTCGTCTGCAAGGCAATTTGCAAAGTTGAACCAGGTTCAACCTTCCTGACAACTGTCGGTGACTGTTGCTGATAGGGTGAGCAATTCTATGGAAACTAGCTTCAGTGTTCCACAGCAGTGATAATACACAGTAAAATTTTCCACACTACCCACAGAGTTAACTTTACCTGCTGCACAATTATTATCAGTTACAGAACTCGAACATAGAATATTTGTCTCATCAGTTACCCACATCAGGCATGAGAACCAATAAGTAATAACTATGTTGTATTTGAATAATTAAAAAAAGGAATCTAAATTGCATAAAAAAATAAATCTGATTTTTTTTCTACATGGCCTTTCTACATTGCTGAAATTTCATGTTTTTGAATAGCAATCTTTATTCCATCAATCGCTCAGAGGAAGGTCATTATTAACTGGCTTTCAATAAAATTGGGGGTTGCTTCAATCAGTTAGACTAGGCATATGAGGGTGGGAGATTCCACTAGTTGGAAGAAAAGGCTATAGACACATCGCTGACATCCCCAGCCTGTATTGCTTTGTAATATTATTCAGTAAACAAGAGTATGCAAGCCTCCTGTAGTAGTATCTACCATGAGTTTTTATCGGAAAACTATCATAAATCAAAACAGCTAGCAATAATGTAGGCCTACTTTAGACCTAAGTGTGCAAACGTTATCAAATGAAGGCCCCCGGGTGAAGGCCTCACAAGTCTCTCTCTACTACAGTACTACTAGTACTATACTACTACTATCTAAGTGACCTCTTCAAAACAAGTTTACAGAACAGATTTACACATCCTGTGCTCTCGAGACCCGGAAGCTATGGCCTAAATATATTATGTTCGTTTCCCTCATTCAACATGTGCCTAAATTTCGTAGGAGACAAACAAGGCTGTACCACATTACCTTGCTTTGCAATTTCTTTCAATTGATCTAACTCATCTTTACCACTGTGGGCCGTTTGAGGCCCTGAATTTCCCACAAAAGCCGTCTGAACTTCGGCAGCAGCCATTCTTCGCTATCCTACTTGCCTAATTTACGCTCGACAGCGAAAGAGGAACTTTTCGTATGAACTTTTAAAATCTTCCGCAGTGATAGGTGGCGCTATGCCAATATAAAGTTCGTGGTTTCTGCTACAACCACTTGAAATCACGGTTCCAGACTGGTTGATCCCCAACATTTGCCACCGCCGAACATTTTCTCCCGACTATTTGCCCCTGTGGCATTTTCTAGATTTGAATACAGTATAAAGTCAGTCAGGCTATCAGTCAACCGGTCAGCCAGTCAGTCATTCCGATCCTTTATTCATTCAATCATTGATTCATTAATTTGGTTGGTTGGTTCGTTTTGTTTTCACAGATCCTAAGGATCTGTAGTTGATTCATTGATTCATAGATTCATATAATACGTTCAGTCAGTCAGTCAGTCAGTTACTCAGTCAGTCAATTCTCTCTTCTCTCAATCATTGGTGGCACCAGATGGGGCTGAGGAAGCCTACCCTCTTTCTCGACTTTTGAGCTAGGTGTCTAATGACTTTGTTCTTCAAAATTCAAGGTTTTCCCCCTCTTGAAAACGGTCAGGTAAACTTTCTCATTCTTATTACAGTAAATAGGCCTGATATGTGTGTAAACATACATTAAAAAAATGAGTAGTTGCGTAGGCCTACGTATTCTTTTTTCAATGAATCGATAAGCTCCAAAGAAAAGTGGGTCCGAGGGTTCTCCCCCGGGAAAATTTTGATTCCTAGATGGCGGGAAATGAGCTTCCCGACTTCTAAGTTGTCTTTTAATTACTTTTAAGTTCTTCAAAATTCAAGGTTTTCCCTTCTTGAAAATTATTATAATGAATCAATGAACCCAAAGAGAAAAGGGAGGTTCGGATTCTCCCCGGGAAAATGTTGATTTCTAAATGGTGGGAAATGAGCTTTCCCGATTTTTAAAGTATCTTTTAGCGATTTAAATTTAAGTTCTTCAAAATTCAAGGTTTTCCCCTCTTGAAAACGGTCAGGTAATTTTTTCCTATTGTTTTTACAATAAATAGGCCTTATGTGTGTGTACATACATAAAAATAAAAAAAATATGAGTAGGGGAGTTCGGGTTCCCCCGGGAAAATTTCTATTTCTAGATGGCGGGAAAGGAGCTTTCCTGACTTCTGAAATGTCATTTATAAATGACTTTTTAATTTCTTCAAATTTCAAGGTTTTTAAATTTTTCTCATTTTTTATTTTATGTGTGTATACACATAAACAAATGAGTAGTTGCATGCGTATTCTTTTTTCCATGAATCGATATAATCCCAAAAGAAAGGGTGGTCTGGGGGTTCTCCCCCTGGAAAATTGTGATTCCTAGATGGCGGAAATGAGCTATTTCGACATTTGAATTGTGTTTTAATGACTTTAATGTTCTTCAAAATTCTAATTTTCTTAATTTCTTAAAAAAAAAAAAAAAAAAAAAATCAGCTCCCGGGTCCTGAAAAGGTGGTCTAGAATTCTTTTTTTCCTTTTTTTGGCCCAAGGGAGGGGTCAGGACCGATTACCCCAACCCCCCTCCCACAGATCCGCCAATGTGAATTGCGAGAAAGTGTAACTCGGTCGAGGACTGGAGAAACATTCTCTTTCCCATCCTTCTCCTCCTTCTTCCCTCTTTCTTTTCTTGCATTTCTTTCCGATCATACAAAAATCTCCAGACATTATATATTTTTTGCCAAAAAGTGGGGGGGGGGGCCCGGGCCCCCACCCCCGGCCCCCGGTTCTGCCGGCCATGCAATTTTGGGCCATTTGTGTATTCCTATATCTTCGAATGGCTGATGTTGTAATGTAAGCCATGTTATTTTAATTAAATATTTATTTCCTATTTGAAAATTAACAACTTACCATTGTAAAGTAATTCAATTTTTGAAAAACCGGAAGTACGAAACAAAAATTTGTTATATTTTGTCAATCGGGATTTATCACCAGGTGTTCCATGGAAATGACACTAACAAATAATGTTTAATCATGTATATAGTTACATTTCATTATATACAGTTACAATTAAATGGATAGTTTACAGTGTTAGATCAAGAGGAGGGTGATAACTATTACGACCAAAGTTAATATCATTGCTCTCTGTGGTATAAACATGGGAGAATAATAAAAATGAGATAATATTTATAATGAGGTCTTTTATTTTCTCAAAATGTATTATAAATTAAAGATAAAATAAATGAAGTTATTTTTAAGTACCATGTTTGCTGCGGGCTGGACGCGCAAAGCATAGGCCAGATGTCGAAATATCGGGTGACCAGCTTAATAAAGTAAGGTGGTTAATATCAGTTTACATAATAAAATATTCAGTTATGAAACTCGTAGCCATCTGACACCTTATATTGTACATGTTGGTGAATCTTGGTACTTAAGACACACGCAGCGTTTTGGGCGACTGCAGACTACATAGCTGCGCTAATTACAATAAGGGTTGGTGAGTTGCTAGATGCAGTCATACAGCCATGCTTCTGGATATGACGAGCTCTGCTGATTACCGTTGGTGGAATTTGTTCTCCGACATCGGTAAGTCTAGAATATTAATCAAACTTATCTATATCAGTTCTCATTTAATTATGTTCAATGTTGCAATCTTTCAGTATTCACCACTACAAGGACCTCGCTGAAAATTCAGAGTTTAGAAGCTTGGGGTTCTTGGCAGGGGTGGCGCCAGTGGCCCCTGCCCCACCCCCTCCCGTCGGGAAGAGCTGAACCCCCGTCGGGGAGGAAAAGCACAATTCGTCGGGGAAAAAAAACAATTAAATGTTTTTTCTACATATAGTATGCATTCACTCTGATTAAATAAACCTTTGACACCCCTGAATTTTCAAAATTTTCAGGGGGCTTCGCCGCCCCTGGACCACTTTCAAAACATTTTAATCGCAGCTCAGCCACGCCCACTTTGCTTTCCTCGGAGAAATCTGACCTCTCGTCGGTCGTCGGGGGCATCGGTCCCCCCACCCCTGGTTCTTGGTGCGGTTTAAAGAAATTCTAATTCAATCCAAAAACAAAGCATTCTGCTGCACCAAATAATGATGAATTATGAATAAATACTTTTCAGAATCAATGAACAGCAGCACGCATACATACAGAAGTTATTTATCATATGATAATTTCCCGACATATACTGAGGAATGGTGGCACAAGGCAGTGGTCAATGCGTGTAATTGGATTACCATCGTTTTTGGAAGCGTAGCGTTTGTTGGGAATATCTTCATATTGATGGTTGCTTTAGCCGCAAATGAAATACGTAAGAAACGAAGCAGTTACCTGATGGTTAACCTCGCAATAAAGGACGCTATGCTAGGGCTGTTATTTCTGTTTCAGGGAATTTGTAACTATGCTGTCATCCAAGGTATCGGTGTGCTGATTGCTTCTATGATGCGCATGGTATTATTGATATCATCTGCATTCGTGATTATATTGATAGCTATGGAACGCTGCTTTGCAATAATTGCACCGTTTCAGCATCGGCGGTACTGTACAAAAAAAGCACTGATCAACGCAATAATCTTAGAATGGATTATAAGCATCTCAATCGTATGCCTATTGTGTAAATATTTCTTGAATAATTTACCCCAGACTTACTTTTATGTTTTTATATTAGGTTCCACTACAACCATTTTAATTTATCTATTGATATTTTTGATTGTGAAACGACATTCGTCAAAAAATAAACACGCACTCAGTGTTTCCCAAAATAATAAACGGAAACGAAGTATTTACGTGATAATTACATTCGCATTTATTGCGGAAATACTCGCCATATGTTTCATTTTAAATGCGGTTGTTTTTATCTTAGAATCATGGGTCCAAATTTCAATCCAAACTGTAGTCCTCAGCTGGGTATTCTATCTGTTACTTCCTCTAAATTCAGCTGTGAACATATTTATATATATGTGGCGGATTCCAGAATTTCGGGTGGCTTACAAGCGGATCCTTTGTAGTCTCTAATCGCATAGCAGGGGCGGATCCAGAAATGTCCAAAAAGGGGGTGGGAGCGAAAGTTGGGCGATCGAGACAACACTGTCCTAGGGGGTCCGGGGGCATGCCCCGCGAAATGTTTGTGTTCTATAGACGCCCGAAAATAACATTTTTTTTTTACCTCCCAAATATTACCGGTATATGTTTTGTTTAATGGTCAATGACGTACGAGGGAGAGTCTACCTGTTTGGGCATTATTTAAGTTTAACTATGAAATAATTTAAAATTCAACAAATAATTGTCTATATAAAATCAATGATATACTCTTTATAAAATAATACTCATGGTTGCATGTTAATGCTACTTTATATTATAGTTATATCTTTCATAGTCATTAAACAGAGGTGTTGTAGTAGTGTCTTAAATAAAGGCAGTGCTTACTATAGATTCTAGTTATAAGTGATATTATGGTTATATTGCAAACATAAAGAGAAAACTTTTCTTATTTTTAGATTATTAATATTTTTCAAAATTGTATTTTTCTGTAGGCCTACTGTACTGTATTATTGTGTATAGATGGTTTTGTCAAGTGGAATGTAGAAGTGTGTTGACTGTCAATGCAGTTGTATATTTGTACGTTTGTTACGACTTTTGGTGAGGAAAACTTTCATTGCAATGGTACGAAAATATACATACATAATATAATTGTTATTATTTCAAGTTATTTGTTTTGTGTGTTGGTTCGGCCTGGTTCGGCTTAGCTTTTCCTGCCTATTATCCAACAGTATTGACACTAATTGTGGGAATTCTACGGATCAGAAATATTTTAGGGCAACCTTCATCACAATGCCTTTGGCATAATAGATTGTATTGAATCTCCAGTCTCAAACACAAGATTTACGTAATCTATGAAGAATCAATACCACGAACAACTAAATAAAATGGTACAGTATCTATATCCATTTACATATAATAAACAATAATGTTCAGTTACGAAACTCAAAACTTAACCCAACAGATATACATACTATACAGTACAGTACCGTACTATATAACGGTGAATTTCGGCAGTTACACACAATATTCTCTGATTGAAAAGGGTTTTCTTACTTATCAGGTCGGTGTTGTCAAATACCATGTTGCCAACTAAAATCAGAGGTTTTCTGACTATATATACTGTTGCTGACTATAATCAAAGCTTTGTTGACTTACTGCAATGAGAGCGTTGCTCACTGCAATGAAAGTTTTGCTCGCTAAAAGTGTTTTGGCGACTGACTTCAATTCAGGCTGATGACTACAATTTTCTGAGAGTGTTGCTGACTACAATCTGAGTGTTGATGTCTACACTCTCAGAGTTGCTGACATTATCAGAGTGCTTCTGATACAATCTGGTGTTGTATGACTGGAGTTTTGCTGACTTCGATCATTGTTTTTCTGACTAGAACCAGAGTGTTGCCTATTGCAATCATATTGTTACCTACAAACAGAAGTGTAGCTTACTATAGTAATGCCTTAAATACAGATGTCGCTGAAGTTATAAATTGCAGTTAAGTGATATTATGGTTATATTTATTACACACATTAACCAGTGGCGGATTCAAAAAAGGGGGTAGTCGACCCGCCTCCAACCCTTACATTTTAAAAAAATTATAGAGTGGAGAAAAAAAAATTATATTTAAATTTAAGTCTTACAGTGTCATATCCGACCATATGGGGGGGGGGCGGGGATAAACATAATTTTTATGGCCTCAACTTCAAACACGGTGTCCTGAGGTGGGTACCCTCTATCTGTAAAAATCCCTTCCTGGCTCCCCCTCTATTTCGGTGTTCTGGATCTGCTACTGTTAACAGAAAGCTATTCCTGTTTTTAGATTTTTAAAGATTGTACTTTCCTTATACTGTATTAATTATTGATACTTTTGTGAAGTGGAATGAAGTGTGATGCTTGTCGATACGGTTGTATATTTGTACGCTTGTTACGGGAACATATTTGCATACATAATAATAATTGTTATTAATCTTTCTGTGTACGTCATACGGATTTTTTTTTCTTGTCTATTATTCAACTGCATTGAGATCAATGGACCTTTTAGGAGTGTCAATCAAGCAAGTGACCTGTCCAACAAACGTGTTGTCCCACAAACGCGCGTGTATGTTTCTACACTGTCGATTTATGGGATCTAGCTAGTTAACAATATCAAAGGGGCGAGTCTTAGCGGAAACGTCTATTGTGGGAATCTTGGGATGGGATCTTTTAGGGCAACCTTCATCACAATGCTGTTGGCATCATAGATTGTATTGAATCTCCAGTCTCAAACACAAGATTTACGTAATCTATGAAGAATCAATACCACGAACAACTATCTAATTCAATATTTCAGACCAGCTTAATAAGATGGTACATATCAATTTACATATAATAAATAATAATGTTCAGTTATGAAACTTAAAACTTAGCCCAACCGATACCGTATACAGTGCGGTACATTTTTTTTTGCTGCCTACGGGGTTTGCTGATTTATCAGATAGGTGTTGTAAAATACTCTTTTAGTTTAATGGTTTCTGACTTTAATTATACTGTTGCTGACTGTAATCAAAGTGTTGTTGACTACAATCTAAGTGTTGCTCACTGAAATCAAAGTTGTGCTCACTAAGTTTTGACTTCAATCTGAGTGTTGCTGACTATATCGAATGTTGCTGACTATAACCAGAGTGTTGGTGACTACAATCGAATGTTGCTGACTATAATCAAAGTGTTGCTGACTATAATCCGAGTGATGATGATGATTACAATCGGAGTGTTGGTGATTATAATCATAGTGTTGTTAACTAAAATCGGAGTGTTGCTTACAATCACGGTTCTGCTCACTAAAAGTGTTTTGACTTCAATCTGAGTGTTGGTAACTACAATTCAGGTAGATGACTATAATTTTAGAGAGTGTTGGTGATTACAACCGAATGTTGCTGACTATAATCAGAGTGTAGGTGACTACAATCGAATGCTGCTGACTAATCAGAGTGCTTCTGACTACAATCTGAGTGTTACATATATATGTATATATATATATGTATATATATGTATATATAATACATGTATATATGTATATATATACTTATATATACAAATATGCCTATATATATTATATAAACTATTATAACTTTAATCAGAATTGCTGAATACAACGACGTGTTTTTCTTTGTCTTGTGTGAGAGAATCCCATCTTTATTTCGTGTAGGCCTATTCAATCGATAAATCAATCATATAATAATATGAAGTAGCTTATACTTTCTGATATTAATTAATAGTAAATGTTTTCAAATCAGGGGCTGATAAACCAATACCCCAACAATCAATAAATTAGAATTCAGTATAAATCAATTACGATAACATAACATTATTAACAGCATTACAAACAATATTTTAGTGTACAAATTTCAATCGTATTAAAAAAAATACAACGACGTGTTGCTGACTACCTACACATTGTTGATGACTTGTTGCCTATGTTTTATTCATGACATTGTATGTGTGTGTACGCAATGAGCGGATTATGGAAGTGATGACAAAAAACTCTTGTTCAAAGGAACCAACTATTACCTTGGCAACCACAATTAAGTAGAATTGATAATTCATTTTGCAGTCCAAATTTTATAATATTTTATAATATTTTATTGCTGTGAATGCGGACCCTGTTGGCTTCAGTTACAATAAAATATTAATTCAAAATTCAAAAATTTTGTTTTTATTTGCCTTCACATCAAATTTTACAGCGTGGTTTTATGGCAAAAAAAAAGTTAGATGGTGTTCTCTAAAGCTTAATTATATAATATTCTAATATTCTGTACTGTTAACTATCATGATGCTATCATATGTAATTTCTTCGTAGAAATTTATTAACCAATAAGATTGCTGGTTCTAATTCGAAATGCGTTTCGGCCTACTCGATACTATTTGAATCACTTAAGACATTGCTGCGCTGAGCAAGAGCGTGAGCAGAAGAGGAACCAGGTTAACAACTCCACCACTTGCCGCATTGGATTCGTTGGCGTTGCAGAGGTCAGTTTTGCAGCATTTAACTATACACGATTTCCCGTTCACCTCAGGGATATCAATACAAGCTTCAGCACAAATATCAAGGCAAGTTCTATCGTAGACTGTCAATTCATTTCCTGCGATCGTTGCTGTGCTTTTGGTAATCTGCAATTTATGAAAAAAGTGTTATAAACCTGTACAATAATCAGTTTAAATCGCCTTCTTAATTTATACATACATTCATACTGTATAAGCAGCATCTGTTCCAGTGCCGAACTCATAAAAAATGAAAAAAAGTACCCTTCAAAAATCCAATCAATAATCTCTTTTAAAGAACGTGATAAAAAAAATCCAATGACATGCAGATTGAATAATTCAGTTTTAATTTGTTTACGAAGTTTTACCAAGAAATCTTAAACTATTGTCACCCGCAAATTTAGGTGCACAGTTTTGCAAAATAATACAGGAAGCGGCATTTTTTCGTATTAGTTTTCGTACAATATTTTATCTCAATTAAATTTCACGTTAGGTCCACATACTCGCTACTCTGTTGCCATCAATTAATTGCAATATCTACACTACGTAGCTCGATCTTGACGCAATCAGGACCGCTCCCTGACGTGTCCCGTGAAATCACCTTAGTTGAAATATGCAGTTTTCCGATTGTTCCAAATCGTAATCACTGACCAATTATCCACAGAATTCAAAGTAATTATTTCTCTCTGACGCAATTGCTATGAAAACAGCGAAAGTGTACCGTAAATGCTCGAATAAGCGCCGCGGCGCTTATAACATTTTTGGATACTTCAGAGCTGCGCTTATTCGAGAGCGGCGCTTATAAAAAAATATTGGCGTGGTGCTTCCCGTGTCCGTTCCCATGTTACCTATTTCACGCATTCATAGTCTATCATAGGTTATATCATTATAAATAAACGTTTATAAAGAAATGCTTGTGTCTTCATTGTATTATTTTTTTCATTTTAACACTATGTCATTTTATTTAAAACCCTGTTTCTCAAAGTGTTTCTACACACAGGTAATATAATTATACTCTTGATCTCTCGATAAGCGGCGCTTATTCGAGAGCGGCGCTTATTCGAGCATTTACGGTAGTGATAGAAACAAGCAAATATAGACTGTTATAAAATCAAAGTGCAAAATGGAGCTACTTACTGCGCAAGATCCTGCGCAAGACACTTGTTCGATACCATTGGCATTCCCTATCGTCGCACCACAGCTCGGGTTTAGAGTTTGAGTGCAGTTGTAACACATGAGGGCGCTAACAACATCTGAAATCAGAATTCAATTTTAAATCGGAGCTTCGCCCACAGACTTGCTAAGTCTGTTTGTAAAAAAGAACATACGGTAGGGCTTTTCCTCATTGCCATAATGAGAGAAGTCAATCAGAAGTATAAATTAAAAAAACACACGAAAAACAAAAATACTAGGCCCCTAAATACTACTAAATAGAATTATGAAATTAAAAAAAAAAAAAAAAAAAAAAAAAAAAAAAAAAAAAAAAAAAAAAAAAAAAAAAAAAAAAAAAAAAAAAAAAAAAAAAAAAAAAAAAAAAAAACGAATAGGCCTGAAGAGTGTTTTTATTTTTAGCAGCAGGATCAATGGTTGTTTTTAAAAATTATTATTAATTGCTTAAATTTTTTGTATTACTTACTACTATTGATATTCACCATTTAAATCGGTGACATTAACTCAACGAGTTGTGGTCGTTTAAAAATTATAATGGAATAACAGAAAAGTTACAAAATAATGAAGTACACTATAAGAATCAAATTACATGGACGCCTTAATCAAGGACTAACTGTTACCAGGATAAGCTGGCTGGTTTAAGCCGTCTAACTTGAATTAGCCTTATGTGCGGTATTGTTATGTAAATGAGCAAAGTTTTGTTTTTTCTGAGCATATGCAGATTGTGCTTATCTGGCTCATTTGCATAACAATACCGCACGTAAGGCTACGGCTACGGTGACACTAGAGTTTCAAGCCTGGCTTGTATATAGGCCTATGCCTATATATACAAGTGAAATTAGGCTAATACCCATTTCAAAATCGTCCACAGTAATAAAAGAGAAGAAATAGATCATATATGCGCCAATTTATTATAGTTTTGATGACTGGATAACGGTATAAGACTCGTTCTTACCTTGTACTATTAGACTAGGAACGAAGTGCGCATGATAGGTCTATTTATCCCTCAAATAATTTGTTCAATGAGAGGTCATTCAAAGGTCGAATCTTCGGAGCTCGCCGTCTGCTATACAACCTTTTGATTTTTTTTAATTAACCTAAAATTATGCTAATTATACTTACCAAAGCTAAAGTGTATGACCAAACATGCGACGAATATCTTGGAGTACATTATGTATGTTTGTCTGCTTTAATCTGGGATAAGAGTAACCGTGATAAATAGTGCTGACGAGGTTATACAGAAAATCTGAAAAAGTGAGGAGTTATAAATTGAGTATCTGTTTAGCCCCGCCTCTTCTGAGGTCACTAGCAGCATTACCTCATCCGACATACGCCAATTGCAGCCCAATGATATTCAAAAAGAAGTCCAAAACTACAATAATAAAAGTTATATTTGTAAAAAGTTAGTGACTGGGAACTATAAAGAAAGCTCGGCCAATGGTCAGCTTAAGGCTGTAGCAAAATTAATATACGTCAGTTGCATTGTTTTAAGTATTTTTATTTTTATTTTTGTAATGTATTTCTTTTGGACGCACCCTCCGGGAAAACGTTGATTCCTAGATGGCGGGAAATGAGCTTTCCCGACTTCTAAGTTGTCTTTTAATGACTTTTAAGTTCTTAAAAATTCAAGGTTTCCCCCTCTAGAAAATAGTCGGGTAAACCTCATTTTTATTACACTAAATAGGCCTATTATGTGTGTATACATACATAAAACGATTGAGTAGTTGCATACGTATTTTCCCCCATAAATCGATAAATCCCAACGAGAACGGGGGTCCGGGGTTCTCCCCCGGGGAACATTTTGATTAGATGGCGGGGAATGAAATTTTCCGAATTCAGATGTGTCTTTTAATGGCTCCTAAATTCTTCAAAATTTCCCCTCTTGAAAACGATTCCATGAATCGATGAACCCTAAAGAGAAAGGGTGGTGGGGGGGGGGGGCGTTCCGGGTTCTCCCAGATGTTAATTTGTTCATGGAGGTATAAAAATATTTTTATTTAAATAAAAATTTTTATACCTTCATGATTTGTTTTAGTATTTAACGTTTTGAGGCCATTGGTTCTGTTCATATTGGTTCCTATTGTGTCCATACAAAAATCAAGGAACGGATGTAACGTATTGTATTGATGTTATGGACTATATTCAGGAAATACAATTATTGGTCCGTACCATGTTGTGTCAGGTACGAAGTGGACGACACAGCATCAGGAAGTCTTAGGAAATATACACCAATCCTTTTTGTTCTCCTTGTTCCATGTTCCAAGTGTGTGCTGTGTATGCCTAGACAATTGATTCGTGGAGATGGTGCGGATGGGTACCGTATTGGTGGTAGTGCAGGATGTGTCCAATTAAGATTCGTACCGGTCTTAATGGAGACGAATACGCTTTTGCTTTTATTGGTTGTGAGGCACTGTGGCGTGTCCAGATTGTTTGCAGGATGAATGAAATAAATTTGAAAGAATAAATGAATGAAATACGATTATATGATTTGGTTAACTTCTTTTGTCTTGTCATCCTCACATCCCATTTAAAAGCCAACAATAATATTAACCTGAACATTAATTCATGAATGGCCCTCCCCCATCCCTAACGAAGAAATGTGCTGCTGACTATTTAAACATTTTTGTTAGCTAAAAAGTACTCTACAGTGGCGGAAGGAGTGGGAAGTAGGGAACTTAAAATATGGCAAAATATTGTAAGACATTTAATATAATGGTACTGCGATGTATTTCTACTGGCTGTGCACGCACCTGGACGGTAAATCGGCACAAACTTTTGTCCTTACTCAATTTAATAAATGATATAAATAGGGGTAGGGAGAAACTTTTTCGGCCCCTTATATGTGTTCTACCGTATTACAAGTAACAACCGATGTTTTTTTAGCAAGCATGTAAGGTGTCACAAAGGAAAATATTGAATTAATATTTTAAATCGAAGTGTAAACATGAAAAAAAAGAAGATAAAGTGTAAATTAGGAATCCAAGGTTGAAGATGATTGTGAGCTCGTAAGACATGGATGAAGAGAATAAAATAACTGTCGGCTTACCGTACTTCCTGAGCCTTTGACAAAGCATTTACGCAATACATAAGACGACTAGCCCTAAATAGACCTATTATTAAGAAAGAATGATTCAGAAATTACAGAGCACATGATATTCTTGGGCAGTGGCGTTCCTAGGACACCATTCTTGGGACACACGTCAAATTGTAGTCTAATAATAAGTTTGTAGGCTTGATAAAATTTCATCGGGACCGGGTTACACAGATAATTTTGAACAATCCCTTTACTAATGTAGGCTTAAAGCTGAAGTAGCCTAACAACCAACAAGCCACAATCGTACTACTGACGATGCAAACTGGCAGGAAATTCTTCAGGCAAGCATGCAGTACTTAGATAGAGAATTTCCATTTAGTTAATACTAGTTACCAGTTACTAGTCTAGTAACTGGTAACTAGTAGTAACTAAATGGAAATTGTTTAAAAAAAATTGTAAGGGAAAATAAAGTGTATGGTATGGTCAAGAATTGAATTGAGTGAGGAATAGCAGCAGTCAGCAACTGACCGATGGCGGTGGAACATTTTTGAAAGTGTAGGGGGAGGGATTTCAAGGTAATAAATCCAGTACGCGAGCGAAGCGACCATCCAGGCTGGGTGGGGGAATGGGGCAGAGGCCGCCAAGGGCCCCGGTGAGGGGCGAAGGCCCTTGAAAGCTACGGATAGTTGAAAAGGTTTGGTGAATTGTATTAGTTTATAGGCATCAAGCTACTGTTGCTGTAATATGACTTCATAATTGTTGTATTTTCTGAACAAAGTCGAAGTCAAGATTGCTTCCACGATCACAATGAATTAGGCCTATTCGCATGAGGGGCATCCTTGATATGGTATTCCAAGGAGAAACCCCTTTTGCCACGACGGATACATATTACCATTATAGAAAAAAATATGATTATGGCACCTGATGGCGGAAATGGCACTCTCAGATTTAAATTTGAATATAATTTTCTGTTTCCTATATCTTTTGTAATCATTCTGAAAAAAAATTAGGAGGATGTGGCCCATTAAACCACTGTTTATTATAACATTTGACCTAGCCTATCATTTTGTTTCACAAATAACTACTGTAATTCGTAATGTCAAGCGAAAAGGTTTTCACTACAGTCTTTACAACCAATACTTAATTACAATATACTATAAATTCTGTAGTTAACCTTCAGAGAACTTTATTTTTATAAATGACTTAATTAAGTATCTTATTGTTTTCGTTAAAATGAAATTTAAATGTGGTTAAATTACGTTAGTTTGATGGTTTACTGTAAGCCAATCAGTTACACTTATTTCATCGTTAACATAAACAAAACTAGAGCGTCGCACTATAAATACAGAGAGAAATCTGGCTCTATCAAAGCAAGATGAATATGGATGTTGTATGCTAATTCATGGACGTGCACCTTCGTATCTATCAAATGATTTCAAATAAATACATTCAATTATAATTTTAGACATAGGGCCTAGTAATACAAACATTTATGTTCCTAAGCCAAACACCGAATATAATAAGTAGCCTCAATTACAGGGTGCTAAAACAGGGTATGCTAATTCATTTAGGTTATGTCTGGACGTGCACCTTCGTATCTATCAAATCTATTTTAAATAAATACCTTCAATTATAATTTTAGACATTAATACAAACCTTTGTTTCTAGCCAAACACTGAATATAAAAAGTAGCCTCACTTACAGGGTATGCTAATTCATTAAGTTATGTCTGAACGTGGCTAAAACCTTGAATAATTTTGATATTAAATGGAGCAAAATACCACAATCTATTCCAGTATTTAAACATTTGATCTTAAATTAAATTCTCAATAATCTAGTATAATTAATTAATAATTAATAATAATAATAATAATAATAATAATAATAATAATATGAAGGTTGCTATGATTTGACTTAGCTACGGTATAGTAAACTAGCTCCTAATATATGCTTGTTTTGACGTTATTACAATATCAATTTGGATTATCAATATATACCTGGTACTGTTTTAAATTCAAAGATTAACTAGGTCTATGAAAATTTTGATCGAGAAACTGCAGCAGTCGTAAAGAACCCTGTGTTTAACCGAACATGTCTAAGCCGTCGAGACCTTTTAAAATGGCGAAGAAGCCTGGTACCTACGGTGGTGACAATAAGGCATACACCCACTCATTGAAGAACGTAATAGGCCTACCCACTCCGATGATGTAACAATTATCAACAGTCAGCCTGGAAACGGTCAAAGCGATGACGTAACACTCAAACAAAAGGACGAAAGTATTCCAAGCGTAAAGCCTATATTCTTTAAAGACAGTGACGTGCGAGAGCCAGGAGATGATTATTTAAGTGAAGAAATCATATATTTTGCTTTGAGTGAAATAACTAATGGGGACAATCTGGTAGGGATACAAAAAATTAAAAATTTATGGAGGATCTACATCAGTAACCATGGAGACAGAGTGAATATCCTGACTGCCGGTTTTAACCTAAATGGAAAAAACGTGACTGTACATGACACGAACCCATATCTCGCTTCGAATAATGGTGTGCGTGTACTGGTGAAGGATTCAGGGACGTATCCAGGGGGGGGGGGAGCCGTGGGAGTTGCGGCTCCCCCTCCCCCCTTTGTACACAGTGTTAAAATTTTAAAGCTTATTCTTGAGCCAATACAAATTCTTTCCTGGGATCACTCAAAATGAATACTTCTAAACATGTAAATATGCATCAGTACACGTTATACATAGGCATAATAGAACACATAGGCCTAAGCGTGATTTAATAAAATCTTAAATCCATAAATCTCAAACCAGGTCTTTTAAGATAGAAATGCGATACTGTGGTTCAATTTCGTTTTTATCCTTTTGTAAGTTTCTTTAAATGTTTGTTAAATAATACTACTACTAATAGTAATAATAATAATAACAATGATGATGATGACAATAGTAATAATTGATATTAATATTATAACAATAAAAAGTGAAGAAATTGTGCTAAATGCGAAAAAAAAGTTGTGATTTGTTGATCATACTATAGTATATATAGTTAAAGCTTAGTAAGTTATAATTAGGCCTAAGTTGTCCTGGAAGTAGGTTCTTGATAAAAGATCATGAGAAATTTGTTGGCGTTTCATTTTGACTATAATGGTAATGTGATGATGATGAATTTTACTATATAAAAGTGTCTTTTCCGGCCATCTCGAGAGGTACTATTTCCTCAAATTTTCTCACCTCAGCCCCAGCCATGGTGGGGCTGAGGTAGTTGGGAAATCACGTTTTTTAAGTAGGCCTATGTAAAGTACATACTCAAAGACAATGTTTTAAAGCTTTGTTTTCTATGGTATACACACACAC